AATCTGCTCCACTGTAATATTTTCTGCCGGAGGGACGACACAAGCGGAGGCATCCAAGTTTTGTACACATTGCGTCACCTGATTTTCGAGCGGACTTTGGATAGTTGAGCCAAGCAAATGCGATGTAGCAATATGATTACCAATCGCATTTGCTTTCTCTTGTGGGGTAATGAGCCGATTGTCATCATTTCCGACTCTGAGAGGAGGAATGGGTTTGGGATGAGTTTTCAGCACCTTGGCTACCTTCCAGAATGGACGGGAGCGGTCATCCAGATTCTGGACAACACGCCCGAAACTTTCATTTCGGAGAGAGTCCATTCAGGAAGCAATCTGCCTGTTCAGATCGGCCATTTCATGTTTTTTGCTCAGATCTCCAGTCCTCTGAAACTGGCGTCTACGCACATTTCTCAAGCGAATCAGTAACTGGGTGTGGGAATCAATAGCAACAAACTTACCCCTCACAGGAACTTGTCGAACGCATGTCTCGTCAGCCACGGATATGGCCTGGTGGAGTCCTTCCAGAGCCCGGTCGATGTCCTCTACGGTGTCAAGCGGTGGATTTTCGTTGATGTTCCGGTCTACCACACGTCCAAACTGGACCCAGTTCGTAGGATTGGAGCAGGAGCTATGTTGATGCTGACCTCAGCCACCACCGGTTGGTGATCGGAGCTTAAGTCGTTGATTGCCACCGGCTTGGATAGCCCGAAGTTCGTCAGGAAGAAGTCCAGCGTGGAAGGGTTTCCCACCGGAGAGATGAATGTCAGTTCATCCGGAAATTGCACTGTATACAGCCCATGCTGCGAGTGGTCGAAGAGCAGACGTTCATTCTGATTCCGCTGATAGTTCCGCCATGCTTCGTGGCGGGCATTTAGATCGCCCCCAATGACGAATCGTGAGCTCGTGCGAGTGATAGTGGTGAGGTCGTTCTTGAATTTCATCCTTAGCTCGTTGCTGGCAGCACACTGACGAGGGCAGTATACGGCGATGAACCGGACGTTTCCGGTTGGTGATTCCACCTCCACACTAAGGGCCTCGATGATAGAAGTGCGGATATGCGGCAGCGTGTAGAACTTTATTCCTTTCTTGGTGATGATCGCAAACCACCCCCCCTGGAGTCGATACGATCAAGCCGGATAATGTGGTGATCAGGTAGCCAAAAACTGTCACCGGATTTAAGGTGGTTCTCTGTTAGGAGGCCCACGTCGATACTTTGCTTGCGGAGGAAGTCAGCAAGCTCGAGTCTTTTTGTTCTTACAGAGCATGCGTTCCATGTGACGACAATTATCGGTTTAGACACCATACTGAATAATAAACTTACCGAGCACTTGGATCTGTTCGGGCTTGCTGCGGCACTGACGAAGAGCACCGGTCATGTCGACGAAAATCTTCATCAGCTCATCCGCAGAGAAGAGATCGGGATTGGCGTTTTGTGCTGGTGGTTGTCTCCAGAATCCAGGGGGGGATGGAGAGCTTTGTCCAGCTGAGGCACCAGACGTTTCTTGACGGGGGCCGGATTGCACCCGGGGATTTGCTTGACCGTGTTGCGTATCACGAAGAGGCGGGAAGTCCTCCACCCTGAATGCCGGAATGTTTTCCTTCTTCCGTCCTGGTTGACTTCTTGTGGACGCCTACTTTCGGATCTGCTTGAAATCCTCGCGTTTGGGGCACTGTTTGTCGGACCCTTGATGAGCTCCACCACGGTTGGCGCATTTGCACGTTTCCAACTCGTCGACAACGCACTCGGCGGAGACATGATTTTGGGCGCATTTGTCAGAGCGCGGCTTGATGTAGCAGTTTCGGGTGCCGTGCCCGAAATTCAGGCAGCGCTGACACTGGGTGACGTCGTGACGGCCGCCACGGTATGGCTCCCATCGGACAATGATGGAATTGATGGAGCGGATAGCCTTCAACGCATTAAGCGTCACCGTTCCCTTCTGGAAATGCACCAGGAAAAGGCAATCCGGATATTTATTGACGTTCTCGTCCCTCCTTGTCATCCGGAAGACGGCAGTTGGGGCCAGCTTGTAGCGGTTCCTGATTTCCGCTTCGATCAAATTCGGGTCAAAGTTCGGTAGACCCCTGATGACGACTTTGAATGGTTTCTCACCGGGAATGTCATGGGTGAAGAATTCCACCTTGGAAGTCCTCAGGTGGGCGATGACCAAGTCATACTCCGCTTTCGTACGGAGCACCACCTTGGTGCCGTCTCGGCCCAACTTGAATTCGGCTTTGATGCCCAGCGACGCCAGATCCGCGATGAGCTCGTTAAGATGGGCATTTTTCACTACCAGCGGAGGTAGCTTCACTCTTGCCGGGCACCTTTCAGCAGCATTTTCTATTTCGGCAGCGTCGCCGAAATCTTCGTTTGTCGCAGAGGCATCCTCGCGACCAATTGTGCCATCGGACTGACCCCGATTCTTCTTCCTCTTCTTGCTGCGTTTTTCCGTCACAGCTGGTTGGATATTCCCATCCATGGGGAGAACAGCAAACCTGTTGGATGTAGGTACACCCGAACTTCCTTCACCGGGGTTCTTGTCCTTCACCGGGCTTCGCGAGCGATGCTTCCCCATATCGGGGCACGCACACACACACAAAAAACACCGCGAAAGAGAGAGAGCGCGAACACTTCACCACGAACTTTTCGATCAAGCAGATAATCTAGGGTTACATTGATATGTTATGATTCCCCTACTAATTATCTGATAACAAGTTGATCTATCGATAACTAATAGACAGATTACGCTAGGCTCATTCAGCTTCGGAAACACTTAATAGAGACCTGAGCTAGCGAGAGCGATATGGCTCTAATGAGAGAACATTGAATCTGCTTATGGTTGTGAAAGAGACAACCCGAGTAAAAGAATAGAATCTATACTATAAATGAAAATTGAATTTCAACTTCCCCGAGAACGAATATACGTTCTATACGAGTACTCCAAATACAACGTATAGTTCGTCTAATTTTACATTGCAAATGCTATGCAAAATTAGACGAGTCATACGTTGTATTCGGGGTACTCGTATAGAACGTATATTCGTTATAAGTCCTATAAGTCAGGTAACACAGTAGCCACGAACACGCGTACAAAATGTATGAGTTGGTTCGTGTCTAATCTATTTCGGACAAATTATTTTTATCTAGATAAAACATTTTTATGGTTTTCACATATGGGATCGCTGCACATTTGAATCGGCCGCTATGGATTCTCGATCAAAAGTTAAGTTTATGTTTCATGTCGGTTTGTCAGTGGTAATACATCGTCACTAAAACATTACCGCCATCTGGTGAGTACACTGTTATGGGCAGTATGTTCAACAGATGGCGGTAGTGTGTGGACGTCAAACGCAAGTGAATTGACTATGCGTGCCACTACCAACTAATATTTTTTTTTAATTAGAACGTTAAATGCGTGCGTGCAAGAGTTATGTCTGTTTGCCTGTGGTTGTACCATAGAGGTAACTCTAAGACTAGTAGGTCCCGAAGAAAATCATTATTATTTTTGGCTCACTCAGTACCAGAACAACGGTCCCAAGCAGTCCCAAGCTATTTCACTCACCCCTGCATGTTCTGCATGAATCCACACACCCCTGATGTTATCTGTCAAACTTTCATAGCGAATCAAAACAAACATAGTGTAGTAATAGAATTTCAACTAGAATAGGGTACGTTAATCGTTTGCTTGGGACCAATAGGCTACTAAAGTGGTGAGCCAATTTAAAATCGTGAGTTTCGTATTGATTGTTGGTTGTACTACATTACCATAGAGGTAACTCTACACTCAAAAAATAAATCACATTTCCGATGGAAAATAACCATTAGAATTTCACATAACTTTCATGTGATCTCATAATTGGGAATCGCACCACGAAATTACATGAACCTTATGTGTCCAATGAAGCTTATGTGATTTATCACACAGATTTCATGCGATCATGTGAATGTTATGTGAATTTCAGATAAAAATCATTAAATTTGTTATTAGAAAAATATCATGTGCGTTCCCAATGGAAACTACATGAAAACTTTTTTCAGTGTAAGACCACTGGGTCCCGAAGAAAATCATTATTATTTTTGGCTCACTCAGTAGGGTAAACGCTCCTATAGTTGCGGTACGTTAGAAGCGTTAGGTTCCTATAGTTGTGTATTGCGTCTCCATACACAACTATAGGAACCTAACGCTTCTAACGTACCGCAACTATAGGAGCGTTTCCCCTACCAGAACAACGGTCCCAAGCAGTCCCAAGCTATTTCACTCACCCCTGCATGTTCTGCATGAATCCACACACCCCTGATGTTATCTGTCAAACTTTCATATCATCAAATCAAAACAAACATAGTGTAGTAATAGAATTTCAACTAGAATAGGATACGTTAATCGTTTGCTTGGGACCAATAGGCTACTAAAGTGGTGAGCCAATTTAAAATCGTTAGTTTCGTATTGATTGTTGACATTACTCCGAATGAGAGATTATGACTTCGTTTGATTGCTGTTCGTTCTTTTAACATTTGGATTGATGGCGTTCTGGCTAACGACATATTTGTGGTAATGTAACTTAATCTGATGAAAGACGTCAGGTAGAAGCACATTTGGCGAAATGGATGGTGAGAGTGTAATCTTTCTTGTCCACGTACTTACGTAACGAAAAGGTGCTCTAGCCCCCTCTAGAGCACCTTTTCGCTGGGTACCTTTTCGCTACCATGTAGGTAGAGAATGGCGCTTCAGTCTATTTGATGAATCGAAAACTTGTTATTTTATCTTCGTCCCTTTCCGTGTCACATGCAATACAGTGCCGTCCCGTTTTTGACAATACATTATGTTTTACTTCTTTGCTAGTTCGAGAAAATCCAGCGAACACTTTATTCTAGGTATTTTTGATTCTACTAGTGACCAAAAACGGGAAGGCGCTATTTATGACAAATGAATGCAGTAATCAGCCATCTGGACAAAGAATATAACACCGTATTGTGTATAACTTAGTAAATATATTTCCATTTTAGTTTAAGCTCACTAGCAACACATTTGTTTAACTACAGGATGACCTTATTCTGTAATTTTATTCTAATGTTAGTTTGAACTTATTTCCATTCTATCCGCTGAGTGCACATACACAACAATTGTTCTTAAAAGATAAATATTAAACTTAATTTAAAACTTTAGCCTGGTCAAGACAAAGCGCTAAAATCCATCAATGATTTTCTTGTAATAGGGATTACAGTCAACTTTCCATATCATGGTGATTTGATCAATCCTTTCCGATTTTCATAAAACAAATACGTTAATATCTCGCTCCCTCTGTACGACCAGTCAGTGGCAGCAAAAGGGAACAACATTTAAAAAATAATATTTACCAACCTTTCAATAGAGGGAAACCGCTTTTGTAAACAATGTCCTTAACCGCCGGTTTCGCGAAACATTGTACCTAATCAGGTAAACGAATGTTTCCTCTACTAGCTTGTGAAGTTTGTTTGCAAGAGTGAGCGCTTTTATTTACGAGAAATCGATGGTTGGAGTCAATGTTTGTCTTTTTCCTTTTTTCTTAATTGCTGGAAATTACTCTCTCTATGTCCATAGTTAATTGCGTCACGCTCTAAGGGAGAGGGAATTTTCCCTAAATTTCGCGTCATATAAACCTGTTTTAAGATTAAGGGGCAAGTGAACAAATCGGCTCTTATTTAATTTCCTCTAAATTTTGCTTTAAACAATGGGACAAATAGCCGTTCTACAAATGTCCATCTTTCAGTACCTCAATTATCAATTTAACACCAAGATATGAATCGTTGACTGTGTTAATAAACTAAAAATTTACAACAAGCTAACCAAGAAATCAAATCAAATCGGAATAAACGAAGGCAGCGGGCCCAACTTAGCTCTTTTCATAATCGGTGGTCCCGAATCTTCATCATCACTGGTTTGCATATGCTCATCTTCGTCACTGTTGATTTCAATTTCTTCTAGGTTTTTCTTGTCAACGATAACGTTATTGGCACCGGTGGCTTCTTCTAAATGTCCTTGCTTCATTTTATCCACCTTGACTAGCATATTTTTGAGCTGCGCTCTCTGGCCGTCGGTGAGCTCTGTCGAGTCATTTACACTTGATTCGTTCGGATTGTTAAAATAGTATCTTTGTGCAGAAACTGGACCACCTTGTTGGGATCCCTTCTTAACTGGTGTGGATTTGGTCGGATTTACCCGTTCATCAACAGTCTCATGCTGCTTTCTCTCGACATGCCGACGGCTGTGTGGATAAGGACAATTTGCTTGTTCGCACACACCAAAGCGATCAATCTCCGGACAGATAAATTCGTGACGTCGTGGACACTAAAATGAAAAATAGAAGGTGGCTCATTCCTACTTGTCGGATGACGAATAGCTAACAATACCTTATCAGCAACGGAACAGAATCCTTTTAAGAAATCTTCACAAATACGCTCTTTTTCGCTGACTTTCTTGTGCAGGTATGGGCAATCATTTTTGGTACATCGACCTTCCAAAAAGAAATGACAAACGGGCATCTTCTCCAATGACACATTGTGCGATAGCAGACAATCTTCGTTAACGCATTCTCCTTTCAGGAATCTGGAAAACATTCCATTATAAACATAAATGTATTTATTTAGAAAGGATTATACGCTTACTTGAAACAGATCATTATCTGATTCTTATCATGCAGTTTAGGGCACTTTCCTCGCACAAAAGCCGTGCATTTTCCCAAACGACGGTAAATCGGGCAAGGAACATTGCATTTCCGCATCCTGTTTGTAAGCACCTGAATGCTTTTATGTTTAGTTAAGCTGTAACAGAAAACAAATACTGGAATACATAACGCTTCACTGAACACAACCCAATCAACCTCAAATAGGATCTCGTTCGATGGGTATCCGTCCGTACAAAGGTACCATCCGTTTTCGGCATGTAGGTAAGTCCACCAATGTCGATTCTTCCTAGCTTCGCTTGATGTGGCTCTTCTACTTCCACAGATGGCATCTTTCTTAACTTTGTTCCGCTTGGATCCAGCATGAATCTGGTTCCACGGATCGTTAAACAGCGTTGCTTGCTGTTGGTGGAATCAGCTGGCGGTTTGCGTGGCAATATTTTGGCAGGTGAACGAGCTGACGACACTTGCAGCTTATTCGACGATGAACGATAGAGAACCCCGTTGATGTTAATCATAACCAACTTTTTGTTCTGCGAAGTGAATGTCATTTTCCTGGAGAGCTTCTCTGTGACAATTTTCAAGGGAGGTCTATTACAATTTCTGGAAACAAGGAAAATGTTAGCAACATAAAACACAACCACTGCATTTAGTAATATTACAATTTAAGTAATCTCCTATCGGTGACGACCACACTTTGGGGAACGATCGAGTTTGTCCTTACTAGCGAGAATCTCCGGATAGACGATTTGGGTTTAAAAATCGTTCTTAATGTCCCTGGTCTCCGATCTAGTTTATACTGTTGATTACTACCGTTGAACGTATGGAACTGTTTTTCCACGATACGAACTCCATCTGATTTGAGTGTTTTAGCAGCTTGAGCAGCAGCAGTGGAAGGTACAGATCTAACGAGTTTGTTTCTGCTAATCTTTACTAGCGGTGCCACAAGAGGTACTTTGCAGGATGTTGCAGCAGAGGAAGGAACCACAGAACAGGCACGAATAAGCTTCCGTTTTGTGTGTTTGATGATGGGATTTTGGTGAAGAACCTTTGCTGGTGAGGATGTCGTGGGAATTTTCTGCGAATCAATCTGTTCTTGATTTCGCTGAAGACTGAGTCGTTCCAAAAATGCTGGATTGAAATGTATATTTGGTTGGAGGACAGCTGCGGCTGGGGTTTCGGTGGGTGCAGCAGCAGAAAATGTTTTGGACAAAAAATTCCGATTGATATGAGCCTTTTTGAACTCCGGATTGATGAAAATTTTTGTGCGGGATTCCGTGGCATCCATCTTATTGCACCGTATCACAGTAGTATTATCAAATCACAAAGATTGTAAAACGGTGGGGCAAACACTAAAATTATTATTTTGAACAAAGTTTTTTCAAGAATATTCGTATAAAGCAGTGAAAAACTTATGACACTTGTACATTTTCAGAACATACGCAGATTTCTTTTGTTTATACTTGGACAGAGGGGACAGAGACGTCTCTGACTTTGGGGTATAAAAAAGGAACTGGCTCAGAAGGTCGAATAACTACTCATCGATACTTACATATTTTATTTTATTTTTCACGCTATTTCAAAGCAACCCAAATTTGGGTAGAATCCACCCGGATCGGTCAAAACTGAACCTTGCAAAAATGGGTGACAATGTAACAAATATGAATCAATATAATAGCGCCAGCTGGGAAGTCATCGCTGAAACGCTATGCATAATGTAGGTCTCTGACTACCTTTGCATTGCAGGATTCTTATGAGTTATTTCCAGGACCGGTCTAGTCTACGAGACAGACATGGGACAGATATCGATTAGGCTCACGGCAGGAGTTCTACAAGGACCCATCCGAGGATCCAACGCTCTGGAATGGGATGTACAATGACATGCTGACGCTGAAGCTGTACGAAGGAGTCGATTTGGCTTTTCGGACGACGTCGTCTTAACGGTAGTAGGCGAGACGCTGGAAGAGGGGGAAATGTTTGCAACCGAGGAGATCGATACGATTGGGGGCGATTCAAATATGACGACTATCATATTCTAGAATTTTTCTGTCACAATATGGTGTCACAAAATATACACATATTGGATGTCACACCTATTCAAAAAATCAAAAAAATATTTTCGAGGTATTTTAATTTCAACGAGTACACATTTATAATTTTTATTAAGTATTTCCCGAAGTGTGGGTTTCCAATTTTAGTTGATTTATGAAGTTGATCGCACCTTACAAATAAGATTATTTAATTTATTTGAATGGGTGTGTAATATTACGTTGTACGATGTACATCGATTTTGCGAACCAAATTACATCCATTGATGTAATATTGTATTTGTTTTTTTGCTATTACATCATTATTTCATACATCAGCTTGAATTACGTTGAGCGATATTACATTTTTTTTTTGCTGTGTATTAAGGGGAAGTTTATCGCTCCGAAAAAAAAATTACATTTCGATGTTTCTAAAAATATGGGAAAATGATATCATAAATCTAAAAAAATAAATTTCTTTTAATTTTCTAAAGAAATTTCACGTGCAAATTTTTTGGAAGTCATCATGGCATAAAGTTTCACTCGAAAAACCACAAAACCCTCGACTTTTTGGTTTTGCTGAGAGCCCTTTTTTTCATGTGTGATAGAAAACATATTTTTTTTTCATGTAATTTTTGTAAAGAATCTTAGGAAAAAACTGATTTTCATGGATTTTTGATAATGTTTCCCAATATTTTTAGTAAAATAAAATCGAGCAATTTTTTTTTTCGGCATAGTATACATCCCCTTAATTAATATTTTCTCGTTGTACGTAGTAATATTCCGCTCTCTCCCACACAACAAAATCAACACCCCCTAGAGCGGGCAGAACGTATTACTGTTTTTCAGTGAATGTAAAATACATTCACTGAAAAACAGTAGTGGCTTCTGTTCGCTCTGGTTCGTCATGCATAAGAAAACGGATTTGACTTGTTAACAAAAGTTGTAGCTAATAACAAAACCTACAAAAGTTCTACACATCATTTTGCGAAATGCTGTTGAAGAAAAAAGTTAGAGGCAAATGAATGTAAATGAATGCACGAAATGAATGCAAATGATTTTACATGCCTGACTTCCACTTCGAATTTTCAATTACACAAATCTCGGTGTATTGCAGCAAACGTGGACTAACAATTTGAATGTTGCACGTGTCGTAGAAGCTGATATTTGTGCACTCGAAGTTTCGAAGTGGTTCCGCGAATAAGGATGTCACAGCGATTCACCTCAACCGAGAATGATCAATAATTTGCTACCGTGATGTTTTTATGATTGTTGAACAAGGAAAATCAAATCTCGATACGGTCAAACCATAGAGGTAACTCTAAGACCACTGGGGCCCGAAGAAAATCATTATTATTTTTGGCTCACTCAGTACCAGAACAACGGTCCCAAGCAGTCCCAAGCTATTTCACTCACCCCTGCATGTTCTGCATGAATCCACACACCCCTGATGTTATCTGTCAAACTTTCATAGCGAATCAAAACAAACATAGTGTAGTAATAGAATTTCAACTAGAATAGGGTACGTTAATCGTTTGCTTGGGACCAATAGGCTACTAAAGTGGTGAGCCAATTTAAAATCGTTAGTTTCGTATTGATTGTTGGTCAAACTGTGATCGCTTATGTCATTGTTAATCGTTTAATTGACAACAGTGTTAGCTAATTGATCTGAACAGATAACGTGTTCAAGGATTTTGCCGCTTGATGGTCTCGTAACGTATGTGTTTGTGACGGAGATATTGTATGATGTAAGCAGTCTCAAATACTCACGTGCAATAATGTTCGATAAAAGATTACTGGGCACGTTCATATCACGTACAATAATGCAAAGAAAAAGAAGGGAGGCCTATAAGCAGTATAGAAATATGTTCGTTTCCTGCAAGATCGGAACTTGCAGTGTAAGTCTACAGACCAGGGTAACCACTAAGCCACCGAATTTCGACTTGTTGTTAGGCTAAACCAGTGTTGTCGCATAATGAATCGTTATTAAAACATGAACACATAGTGGTATAGGAGCATATAAGCTGACTTTAGCAATATTGTCAAGCGAAGGCATTCCACGAAGGCTCGCGAATCGATCATGAACGACCATTTTAAATTTAGCTAAAATTTTGCATACTTGTTCCTTTTAAGAAAAATTTCCATTTCATGTTATGTTAAGTTATGTTTTCTTTAGATGGGAGGCTTTCAGCCTGGGGCTGGTTTGACTCCGGGTCATTTTATGTCATCAAAAACAGTACTAAGAAATGAGTTAAAATATAAATATTGTTGAAACGGTTTGTTCGATAGATATGGTAGCTTGAGCAAAGTTTTAGATATTTATTTGTAAACTCTGTAAAAACATATACACTGGGGTAGTTTTTGTTTATTTCCATGAAAAAAAAAAGATTAGCTCATTTCTGAAAACTTTCATTTTTAATAGCAGAGAAGTTGATAGAGTTTGCTACTACTAACTGGCAGAATTTTGTAATGGTAAAATGATAAACAAAAAGTTATGATTTTTTTTGAAAATTTGGCTTTTTTCAAATTTTTTTTAATGGTGATTATTTTTTCAAGAATTGCATCATTCACAATCTTGCTCAAGACATCATAACAATCAAACAAGCCGTTTTTGCCATGTATTTTTTTATATTATTCTTATCTTTTCAACACTGCTTTTACACATTCCATTTAGGAAATGATGTTTTGTTCAGTGTTTGCTAAAATCAAGATCAGAAAATCAAAATCAACTTTCTTTCAAGATAAATATCACTTAAAATCATAGGCATCAATATCACAAGCCATCACCTCCACGAAAATTACCCATCATTTTCGATCAATACACACCAAGTTGTTTTTACAGTTGTCGGTAAACATTTTACTGACTTTCAAACAGCTGAACATTCGGTAATCATTTCGGTAAAAGTTTGGTTTACTGAACGATCAGTAAACTTGCAATGTATACTCAACTGTCAAAAAATACCGACTAGCTCATCATTCAATACCGAAGTTCGGTAAAATTTACAAAATAATCGGTAAAAATAGAAAGGCCGTCATCTGCCAAAAATTACAGTTCTTTCGATAGTTTTTACTGAAAAGCAGTGAAATATAGGGAATTGTTCCGTTCAAATCATGCACAATATAAATTGTTGTATATATCTTTTATTAAATGTAATTCGTCAATCTGTTTATCCAACGAGTCAGCGATCGCAAGCCATTTTATTTGAGTGCTAAAAAATGAAAACATTTAGATAATATAAATAGTACTTACTGAAAAGATCCCTTACTTCTGCATCCGGTCGTTAGCACATCTAATCTCATCGGACACATCTTCCATTTCAATGGTTTACAAGTTTTTTTTTCTGCTAATATTTTTGCACGATTTTCTTAAAATTTAATTACACCGCTTAACATGCGAAATTGATGAAGATTTGACAGGCGTGATTTTAACTGAAGCGTTCAGTAATAATTACTGAACTCCTGTATTGTTTACATTTTTCGTCAGTATTTATAAATTGTTCACTGGAAATCGGTAAAACTTTTACTGAACAGTTTAGATTAAATGACATTTCATGGCTTACAAACTACATCGGTAAAATAGATGCAAATTTTCAGTAATATTTTCATGGGAATTACCGAAAACTTGTAGATATTTGACAGACAGAAGAAAATTAAAGCAATTTTACAGATCACTCAGTAGAAATCAAATTTTACAGATCAAAACCGTAAACAAAATTACCGAACATCAAAATTAGAATTTGGTGTGTATCAGCTGTGATTTTCGATTCCCAAAATCAACCAGCATCAATATCATCCAAGATCAAAATCACCGAAAATCATAGGATTAGAAGACATGTTAAGTTCTAGAGTCTGGGACATTCCGAAATTCAAACCAGCATTCCGGATGAAATTAAAAAGGGTGGAATTAAACCCAAGATGGCTTTTACAAATCCAATATGGCGGCCTCTAAACAGCGTATATGCTTCTAAACCAATGCAATATTGGTATCTACGGAATAGGGTTGATGAGTAGAAGCAGAAAATCAACATCCGCTGCCGTTTTGGAATTCAAGATGGTGAATCAAAATCAAATATGGTGGCATCCGGACAGCGAATACGCATCTACGGGTATCTACGGCATGGGCTCAATCAGTCGATTTTGTGAGAAATGAGTTATCAATTAGAATCGATTGTAAACTACCCATACGGGTCTATCAATTGTCAACGACGTTTTTTCTCGGTTTTCTGTTTTTCCAGATGGGACTGATATGCTTTTATGGGCAGTATTAGCCGTATATCAGGTTTATATAACAAAAATCACAATAAGCGGTCTTGTTGATTACTTGGGAAGAGCATGTCAGAATCATGCCGAACAACTCAGGATGAAATAGTGGCAAAAGGCATCTTCTGTC